TGATCACATTCAATATTTCGACACCAGACCCACCATTATTATTTGAGATTTTACCCCAACACTCAGATCTGCTGAAAAGGCAACAGTAGACAATTTGTTTTCTATTGCTGGTTATGAATAACATATGATGTCGCATGGCTGTAGTAGGGCCATGTGATTTTGAAATTCCAAAATTTTAACACTTAAATCTAGAGGGATTTCTGCAAATAGCCGCTGGGTTTCAAGGCTTGCTCCTGAGTCTCTGGGATCATGGCCATTGAGCAGCTTGATCAGGAGCCAGTGAGGCCATTCATGGGTGATGACTTGGGGTCTCGTTGGGATGGGGAGACCAGGACCGGCTCCACCCCCATCCTGTGAGGCCCAACAAGTTTCGTCACCCAAGCTTGACTGTCCAATGGCCTCTAGAGGATGACGGCCACCCAGCCGCCAAGGGGGAGCAGGCAGAGGGACAACACCCTTTCCCCCCTGGGGTGGCCTGGCAACAGTAACCTACTGTGGGGTCCCAATGCATTTCTGTCAAAAGCTGCTGGATTTCGAGATTTGTTTCTGAGACTCTGGGATCATGGCCGTTAAGCAGCTTGTTCAGGAGCCAGAGAGGCTGTTTGTGGGCGATGACTTGGAGTCTCATTGGGGTGGGGAGGACAGGACCAGCTCCACCCCCATCCCGTGAGATCCTGCGTGTCTCGTCACTGTGGGCCCAAACCTGACTGTCCATTGGCCTCTGATGGATGGCGGCCACTGTGCTGCCAGGAGGAACAGGCCAAGGCACAAAACCTATTCCCACCTGGGTTGGCCCAGCATCAGTAACCTACTGCAGGGACTAGACGCATTTCTGCCAAAAGCCGCTGGGTTTTGAGATTTGTTTCTGAGTCTCTGGGATCATGGCCATTAAGCAGTTCAATCAGGAACCAGAGAGGCCTCCAATTATATAACTGAGCTGGAGGTAGTTTGTGGTTGTGTTTCCCACATATCTAACTTTTGGCCATTTTCTTTCTTGGTAAACTTTGCCCCAAGTTTTTGGGGTCTGGCCAAAGGCACAGCAGCAATTTTGGGGTATCTGGAAGTCTGAAGGTGCCCTCAGGCTGCTGATGCACTCGCCTCACAGGTACAGATTGACCTGCTGGCAGCACCATACCCCCTTCAATTTCTAATTTTTTGAGAATCATCCATACTGTTTTCCAAAAGGGCTGAACCAGTTGGAAATTCCCACCAGCAGTGAAAGAGAGTCCCTTTCTCTTCACTCCACGCCAGCACTGGTTGCTTTTGTTCTTTTGGATGTGGGCCAGTCTCTGTGCTGTGAGATAATATCTCATTGTTATTTTGATCTGCATATCCCTGATGATTAGTGATGAGCATTTTTCATGTGCCTTTTGGCCATTTGAATATCTTCTTTGAGAAAGCTTCTGTTCATTTCAACACCCCATTTTCTGTTGGAGTTGGATGTCTTCTTTTTGTAAAGTTCAACTAGTGCCCTGTATATCCTTGATATCAACCTCTTATCCAATGGGTATTGGGTAAATATTCCTTTCCAATTCTGTTAACTGTCTTTGTATATTGGTCACTGTTTCTTTTGAGGTGCAGAAGCTTCTTAAGATAGTCCCACTTGTTTATCTCTGTTTCCACTTGCTTGGCCAGTGGTGTGTCACCTTTGAAGATACCATTAGCTTCACTATGAAGCTGTTAGAAAAGATGAAATCATGAAATTTGCGTATAAATGGATCAACATGGAAAGTATCATGTTGATTGAAATGAGTCAGAAAGAGATGGACAGACATAGAAAGATTGCACTCATCTATGGAATATAAAGTAACAGAATGGGAGACTAACGCCTAAGAATAGTTGAGATAAGGACCAGGAGGTTTACTCCATGACTTGGAAGCTGGCCTCAAATGCTGGGGGAAATGGCAGCTCAGATAGAGAAGGGAACACCAAGTAAATGGTCTTTGAAGAACCAGCTTGGATTGGGAGATGCTAGCTGAATGTAGACTATAGATCGAACACAATGACCACTCAGTTCATCTAGTGCAAACTACAACACCCAAAGGAAAGAGAGAACAAAAAGGAATGCCCTGTCATAGAGGCAGGGTGAGGTGGGGGGGAATGGGATGGGCGTGGTGGGAGGGATATTGGGATCATTGGTGGTGGAGAATGGGCACTGGTAGAGGGATGAGTACTCAATCATTGTATGACTGAAACTCAAGCACCAAAATTTGTAAGTCTGTAACTGTACCCCACGGTGATTCACTAATAAAAAAAAAAAAGAAAAAAGAAAAATTGGTTCTCTTTCATCTTTAGTTTTCAGTAAGATATACCATTAACTGGTAGATATAAAAAAAAGAAAAATAGTCAAATGATCCCAACTGATTTTCTCTTGCCTAATAAATATGCATTTTCCCAATTACATAGTTTGTGATGTCCATATTCATATGCTTTCATTTAAAATATATAAAACTGTAAGCATAGTACAATAAAGTATTCAAGTAATAATTAACTTCTATTGTATTTCAACATTGCATTTTTGTTACTATGCTTGAAATTCAACTGTTTTAATTGGCAAAATTTAGCTATTCATTTGCCTGTATATAAATACTTTTTAATTAAAATGTGAAATATTTCGCATTTTTTTCATGTTTTTTAGCACCACTTAGCATATTAATTTTATTGAGTGCTATTCTCTCTGGTCTAGTATGAATCTGTTTTTCAGTTTATCATTTTGTTATGCTTTTCAGTTTTACAGCATTTTTTTGTATTCAAGAAACTGGTAAATTTTTATGAAGTGCGATCTATGCTCTCCTTTTTAATTTCTGTCTTGATAGTATGTTCCAAAAGATCTGTCCTGATGGAGCTACTGGATTTTTTTTCTATTTTATGTATCATAATGGCAGACAGTCTACTTGCTCCCTATTGCACCCTCCCAACCCCACCCCCAACACACACACACACACACACACACACACACACACACACACACACACACTACCATAATCTCAGTTCTGCTATCTAGTGCCAGGTGCTTTGTCTATTCACCATTGTCTCTTCCTTTTTTTTCCCATTTTATATCTATGGGGCTGGAGCAATAGCACAGCAGGTAGGGCATTTGTCTTGTATGCGGCCGACCTGGCGAACCCAATCCACGATGACCAAGATCATCTAGCATTTGTCCTCCTGACTTATTTTGCTTATATGATACCCTTTAGTTCCATCAACGTTGTGGATAAATATAGAATTTCATCTCAGGGAAAGGCTGATTGACTTGAATAATTTTTTCAGCTACATTATACAGTGAACATAACAGGATTTCATCTAGATTTAGATGAAATAGTAATATTTTGAGTAGTATTCCATTGTGCATATGCAATTGTATGTCGACCACATTTTTCTTTCTATTTGTTTTTTGGGCCACTCAATGGTGCTCAGGGTTTACTCCTGGCTCGGCACTCAGAGATCACTCCTGAAGGGCTTGAGGAACCGTATGTGGTGCTGGAGATCAAACTCTGATCAGCCATATGCAAGGGAAGCACCCTGTCCGCTGTACTATCCCTCTGCTCCTAGAACACTGTTTCTTTAGCCACGCACTTATCACTGGATATTTGAGTTGTTTTATATTTTGGCAATTGCAAATAACAACAGATGTTTTTATTCTCATTTTCCAACCGAATGAATGCAGACTAAACTGTACGCCCTTCTTCCCCCCCACAGTGAATTTTACTTAGTAGACAGACAATGAATATGTAATAATGGAGCTAATATACTCTTTTAATTTTAAGCCGCAGATTTTGATAAGAATAAAATTTGTTTTGTAGTACTGGAGATTAAAATGAGGGCATCACATATAAACTGTAAGCACTCTACCACTGAGCTGCATCCCCATCGATGAGAATGATTCTTGTTTTCATTTTATTTTCCAACAAGCTTAATGGAAGTGAAACTATGTTGAAGGTACTTTGAGTTCAGTATTTTCTTAAAAGTATATAATCTTTGGAGGTCACGAGTTTCCCCCCACAAGTGGCTTTCCGGCATGGCCATGGCTCCAAAGGAACAAGGACTTAATGCAGAGCCTGGCAGCTTGCGGCAGAAAAGTGTACGGACTATGCGTTAATCCACGGTACTGTGCCTCCCCCCGAGGGAAAGGGTGTTGCTATGTTGCTACCTTCCGCCATTCCCATCACCCTCCCCCGCCCCCAGCAGCAAGGTGGCCGCTGCCTTAGACCTTATTGGAAAGTCAGGTATGAGCTGGCGGTGATGGGGCAACTGCAACCTCACGGGAAGGGGAGCGTTCCGAGCTCGTCCTTCACGCCCTACCGAGGTCACGAGTTGCCCCCCATGAGCGGCTCTCTGGCATGGCCATGGCTCCAGAGCCACAGAAACCAATCTTATAATTATCTGGTTCTTGGCAGAAATTCCCCCAGACTTAATAAGTAAAATATTAGAAATCCAAAATCGCGTGGCCACTATCACCGTCACCCAACATCATATGGTCCTCATAACCAGCTATAGAAAACAAATTATTTCACTATGCCTTTTCAGCAGTTCTGATTTTTTGGGTGAAAACTCTAAACAATAATGGTGCATCTTTTGTTAAAGTGATGAATGTAATCAAAGTAGATAGAGAGTTAAGTAGAAATCATCTGCCTCACAGGTATTGGGAGGGGTGGGAGAGGGGTATATTGGGGTTCTTGGTGGTGAAAAATAAGTACTGGCGAAGGGAAAGGTGTTTGATCATTGTATGACCAAGACTTAAACCTGAAAGCTTTGTAACTTTTCCCACAGTGATTCAATAAATAAATATATAAAAAAATAAAAATAAAGGATTTCATTGTTGCTGGAAAAAATATAGAATCCTTAATACTATGTAGAACTATCACATGAAAATATTAGGAAAAATAAGACTCAAAAGAAATTGCAAATGCAAAGCAGACTTTTAAGAGAGGCTTTAAAAATAATTTATTATTTTTCAAAAGATGTATTGTCTTTTTCATAAAAAAACTATTTCTTTTTAGGATACAGCAGGCCAAGAAAGGTACAGGACTATCACCACAGCCTACTATCGTGGGGCCATGGGCTTTATCTTAATGTATGACATCACAAATGAAGAATCCTTCAATGCGGTACAGGATTGGTAAGAACGAACATTTTCCTTACTACCGATGGCTTTTATTTTTCATTTCATTCTTTCTTCCTCTTCTAAACAATGACTAACTGCTATGTGATGTTTATTTACTAGATGATATACTGCATTTTACAAGAAACAAATGTTATGTATGCTCACAACTAGTATTTAGGGATTGATAAAAAGTCATTTGGGTGATTTTTCAATGTTTTAATATTAAATTTCAGTACTTTACATCCTGTTACTCATAGTCCCATGGAAACTAGTGCAATGGTTTTGGCTTTTAAAATATACATAATGAGTAGTTTAGATATTTATTAGGTCCACAACAAGGATCTGCAAATTATAAATGATAGGCCAAATTGTCATTTGTCTTATCAATAATTTTTTGTTAGAATATAGCCTGGCTTATTATATCTGTGGCTGCTTCAGAAGTACCACTGCTACATAGTTCGGTAGTTGCAAGAGAGACCATGTGACTCTCAAAACCTTAAACACTTCTGTCTAACCATTTATAGTAAAAGCTTTGCTGCCTCCTTTCTTACGTGATTTATTAAATATTCCATTCCTATCAAAATTTATGAGTTTCAAAAGACTGGATGAAGGACAGGATAAAATCAAAACCTTTTTTGGGTCACAGCTGCATCAAGTCATCTGAGAATACTTCTGTAATAAGAATAGGGTCTCAGGTTTTCTGTAGCTTTTTCTCTAGCTTTCTGCAACCTATAGGATTTGGAAAATGACCCACTACCCAGTGCATCAGAAAGCAAGATGCTGCCACACCGGCTTTGGTAAGAAAGGAAGGATTTTGTTGCAGTCCAGAGTGCAGCGATGGAAACAGCAACTGTCAGCCCTACCTCACTGTACCTTCATATCAGGGAGTATTTGACAGAGTTAGAAAGCAAGCCAGCTTGAAATTTACATCTTATCTATTTCTTGAAAACCAGAAGAAGAGTATGGGCACAAACAAGATGGTCTGGAAGGGTGGTCTGAGGATAAATAGGGTGATGCTTGTGTTCTCTGCATCTCCTAAAACATAACTAGAAGAGGTATAACACTTATTTGACTGTTTTTGAAGGTAAAAGACAATTAAGGGCAAGAGGGTGTGTCTGAGTGAGTCTTGACTGGTTTTTCTTTCCTGAAAAACAGATAAAATGTATTTATGGAAAAGAAGTTTCCACAAAAGATAGTGTGATATTGGACCACCTCAACTTCACAGTATCATTTTGATCTATCTCTTTAGAGGTAGCGTTTTATTATTCCATTAATTGTTGGTAGGAAACACTGAAGAATTAATGGCCATGGTCATGCTATCCAACATCAGGACCAACAAAACTGATTTTTCTTAAAAAAAAAAAAAAGAAAGAAACTAGCTAGATTTCTGTGTGCTGTTGGGAGGAAATTGGCATTCCCACAGGTGTGATCAGATCCGAATTGATCACATTTTATAGTAAGTACAGTCATCATTTGCCCTGTGTTGGGAATCTTTAGCAATACATAAAGAACATTCATTTTTTCTTGATTTCTGTGGGTATATTACCCAAAAAGATTGTTTTTACATATTCTGTGATGGGCATATTCTATTAAAAACTTCAGTTTCCTTTAGATCATTTCTTTTTAAGTTTTAATTGTTTTTCTGGAAAAATCATCTTTCTCACATATACACAATAATAAAATGGATAATAGAGGTTCAAAGGGAAATGCATGGTTATAAACTGGAAAAGTCAACCTTAGTATCTATATGAAAAATAAAAACATTTCACTAATAGACATAAACTATAGGTTACACACATTTCTTTATTAGAATAGGACTATTCTCAGAATAAATCATTAATGCAAGGAAATTCCAATCAAATGCCAGCAGATCTGATGCAAAGTGGAATGAAACAGAGGTCAAATAGAAGCATAAGAGGGACTACATTGGATTTTAGTTTATGGTAAAGGTGGCATTTCAAAGCAGGGTTCAAAAGGTTTGTTCATGTAGGATTGTTTAGTCACCACATGCAATTCTTCCACACATACTTCAGAGCAAAATGGTTATTTTAAGTTAAAGTCTTTTCTCTCAGGGATTATTGAGTTCTAGTGCTCCCAGACAGGAAGCATCACAAGTCAGGTTCCAGACTTCTGGTTACCAAATGCTGGTTGTACTCACATAGTTTGCCTTGTTGTTTTGATAAATGTTATATGATTATTGACATATATAAAATTGAGTTCATTAAAACCAAATGGAAATAGCACCAAGAGCCATGTCTTCACTCCTTTTATTCCTGCATCAGAAATGATAGGACATTTAACTTTCTCGCACCTTCATAGTGCTTTGATTTGTAGCCTTAGTCAGTCCAGTGACAATCCAATTGTGAAGTTTCCTCACCCTTCAACAGATCTATTGTCTTCTCAGTCCTCTTCAAATTCACTATTTCACTCTGTCTATTCTTTCCTTTTGAAACTATTTCCTGCCTTCTTAGAGGTGCATTTTCCAGATTATTCTTGTCTTTCTGATTGTTTCTCTAACTTCATTGATTTTCCTCTCTGTTTACTTACATGAGTATGTACAATCCCATTGCTTTTTAATGGGTCTTCTCAGTTTCCTCATACACCTTAAACCCTCATCAACAGTATTTCTTATTAATACCAGATGACTTTCAAGTTTTACTTTCTGGCCCCAATCAGTTTGGTAGATTGCAGTGTTGCATTTCCAGGTTCCCAAAATATTTATCCACCTGCACATCCTGCTTGTGCTTAAGAATCCATTATCCTCATCAAAGACAAGACAGCTCACCTTCCTGAATTAAATATTTCTGTACATTGATACCACATCATTCTGTAGCTCAGATCCACTTTGAATCTGACTTCCAGTCTTCCCAACCTAGGATCTGATTTTAAATGTTTTTTTGAATCTGCACCTTCCTTTTCATGTCTTCCATTACCATCATTCCTCATTCCTCATTTTTTTATTTTTTTTATTTTTTAAAATTTTTATTAGTCAAATACCATGAGGTACAGTTGTAGACTTACAAATTTTTGTGCTTGGGTTTCAGTTATACAATGATCAAATACCCATCCCTCCACTTTTAAAATTATTTTTTACTTCTAACTTTATGGCCAATGGGTAGGGAGTTTGCCTTGCATGCAGCGAACACAGGTTCAATTCCTTCATCCCTCTTGAAGATCCCAGCAAACAACCAAGAGTATCCAGCTCGCACAGCAGAGCCTGGCAAGTTCCCCGTGGGGTATTCAATATGCCAAAAACAGTAACAACCAGTCTCACAGCGGAGGCGTTACTGTTGCCTGCTCGAACAAATCGATGAACAACGGGAGGACAGTGCTACAGTGCTATGGAAACCCAAGAAATTCCTAGAAACCAAGGTGAAAACCAGACCAGAAAACATAAATTTTCTTCCTTTTGAATGTATATATTCATTTACATTCTCTACAAGAGATTAGGCAAATAGAATCCAAGATTATAGGCTTCCTCTGGTCTCCAGTGCTTCAAAATTTGAATGGTAATGATTCAAGGGAATGTGCTGACCACACACTACCTAGACTGTCTTTCTTAAACTTCATTGATCTCTTTACTCCTTAGATAGGAGGAGGTTTAAAGTTAGACTTTCTGATGAGGGGGGCCTCTCATCCAGTGTTTTGGAAACCATACGTTTGTTTTGATCACATCCAGTGTTTTGGAAACTGTACATTTGTTATATAATGCTTGTTAAGGTTTTTCTAGTTTCTGAACTTCTTGAATTTAGTTCTTCAATTTCTGATACCTCTTGATAGTTCATCCCCTAAACACATGCTCTGCCTTCTATAGGAAATTGTATCCCTCTAACCCTGGAATCAATCAGACTAATTTCATCTCATCCTTTCATTCTCAGCTTGTCCATCGTTTCCTCTGACTGATTTTTTTCCAGACCAGATTAATTTTGTCGATTCTGTACTTAGTTCTTTAAACTACCACTATCTAATATCTCATATAATGCCAAAAATGCATATTTTTTCTATTTTTGTGCTACAATCCAAGTTCCCTGAAGATCAAGTCTATGCTCATCTTTTTCCCCTTTCTATACCAATATCACCCATATGTCCTCACTAAGAGATCTCTGAAGAATTACTATTGAATGAGTTAGTAATACTGCTATGGAAAATACACATATAGCTGGCTCATCTGAATTGATTGACATATTTTATAAAAATAATTGGGGAAGCAAGGTGGCTGGAAATAATCATTTTGGAAGAGGCAGCCGACTTGATGTTCTTGATTTGTCCCTGTGTGAAAATACTCAGTAACTAACTTACAATGTGCCATCACTATTGCTTAAAACTGTTATTAAGAACAAGTGTATAAAGCTATAGAATCAAAAGCTCCTTAATATTAAGAAAAATGAAGATTAATTTTCTTTTTTGCTGACTATATGCTGAATTCTGTGGTATGCATCATTTTAGGATTTGATTTAAGAAAATAAATTGATCTTTTCATTATGAAAGAAGGTTCCAAATAGATTTAATAGTTTAAAAAATATGAGATCTCAAAAACTAGAAATTGAGCTTCCATATGACCCTGCAATACCACTTCTGGGAATATATCCCGAGGATGCAAAAAAGCACAGTAGAAATGACATCTGTACCTATATGTTCATTGCAGTACCGTTCACAATAGCCAAAATCTGGAAACAACCCAAGTGCCCTAGAACAGACGACTGGTTAAAGAAACTTTGGTACATCTATACAATGGAATACTATTCATCTGTCAGGAGAGATGAAGTCATGAACTTTGCTTATAAATGGATAGACATGGAGAGTATCCTGCTAAGTGAAATGAGTCAGAAAGAGAGGACAGACATACAAGTACTGCACTCATTTGTGGAGTATGAAACAACATAACATGAGGCTGACACCTAAGTATAGTAGATACATGGGCCAGGAAGATTGCTCCATAGCTGGAAGCCTGCCTCATGAGCAAAAGGGAGAAGGCAGCTGGAATAGAGAAGGGATCGCTAAGAAAAAGATGGCTG